GAAATCAACATCTGCAGAAACAAGACCAAGGCCATTATTACTCTGAAGATGAAGGTTTTGACCCTGGTCTGAAACAACACAAGAACTTCAACCAAACTGCAAATGACAACCGAAAGCATGTTGCAGTGGTCAAACCAGCCAAATACAATATACCAGAATTTGATGGAGATGATGCTGATCACTGGATACAGACAATTGAGCAATATTTTGACAATGCCAGAACTCCTCTAGAGCAAAGGACTGCTTTTGCAGTGTCCTATCTCAAAGGAGAGGCTGTACAATGGTGGAGAGGCACTGGGTATAACACTCAAACATTACCTTGGCACAGATTCTGTAGGTACTTGGGAGACAGATTTTCTGTAGTCTCAGTAACTGAAAATGTCAAACTGTTTCATGCCCTCACTCAAACTGGGACAGTTACACATTACATCCAACAGTTTGAAAAGTTGCTTAACATGATGAGAAGAGACAATCCTTCCCTGCCAGAAGATTATTTTGTCACCAGCTTCATTGCAGGCTTATCTGATTATATCAAAGCTCATCTAGAATGTCACAAGCCAAAGGATCTACAGACAGCTATGTGGCTAGCGAGAAGAATGGAAATTGCAGTGCCACCCAAGAAAGCAACGTTTACTCCTTTTGGAGTAAAGAGACAGGTCAATTTTGACACCCCTAAATCAACTACTGCTGGTGCCACACTTCCTCCAAATCAAGCAATTATACAAGAGGCCAGACAGAAAGGAGTTTGTTGGAGGTGCAAAGAAGTTTGGGCCCCTGGCCATAGACAAGTTTGCAAGCTCACACAGAAAAACATGATACAAGCCTTGCAAGCTACAACTACTGAAAATCCTGACCTGATCTATATAATTGAAAGTGAGGAAGATCTAGTGGAGTTCCAAAAACAACAGGAAGATGAAGTTCTCCAAATTTCCATGCATGCAGTTCAAGGCAAAGGAAACAGCAAAAGTACTTTCACTGTAAATGTCAAGATTGGCAATACTATGGCTACTGCTCTCATTGACAGTGGTAGCTCTGCCACCTTCATATCATCTGAGCTAGCAGCAAAACTATCAGATAAACCAGTAACAAGCAAGAAACTGAAAGTTCAGGTAGCTAATGGAGGAGTACTATGGAGTCAGCACACTTGTTATAACTGCACTTATAATATTCAAGGAGAGCAATTTACAGGGGACTTTAAGGTCTTGCAATTATCTGGGTATGATATAATTTTGGGAGCTGATTGGTTAAAACAATTCAGCCCAATTGAGTTAGATTTCATCCAAATGATCATGAAAATTACAAAAGGCAAGGGCCATAGAGTGACCTTCAAGGATGAAACTATCCCATCTGCTGCAACTATCAAGGAAACTTCCAATTTGGTCAAATTATTGGAACAAGCTGACTGTGGAATTTTCCTCTTGGTCTATACTTGCACTGATACTCAAGCAGAACCCACTATAGCAGTTCCTACGGACATACAAGGGCTGATAGCTGAATATGCAGATATATTTGCAGAACCTACAGAGCTACCTCCTTCCAGACCTTGTGATCATGCCATACCTCTCCAACAAGGTGCGAAGATTGTAAATCAAAGACCTTACAGGTTACCCCATCATCAGAAGAATGCATTGGAGGAAATAATTAAGAAATTAATTGCCACTGGAGTTATACAACCTAGTTCCAGTCCTTATGCTTCCCCTGCAATTTTAGTGAAGAAAAAGGATGGCACATGGAGATTGTGCATTGACTACAGAAAGTTAAATGCGATAACGATAAAAAACAAGTATCCTATTCCTGTGATCGAGGACCTCCTGGATGAACTACATGGAGCTAAATTCTTCACCAAAATTGACCTCAGGAGTGGCTACCACCAAATTAGGATGAGACCTGAAGATGTGGAGAAAACTGCCTTCTCTACACACATAGGGTTATTTGAGTTCTTAGTAATGTCCTTTGGACTTACTAATGGACCACCATCATTCCATTCCTTGATGCACTCGGTGTTAGGACCTCTGCTAAGGAAATGTGTGGTCTTTTTCTTTGATGACATCCTTATTTACAGCAAGACATTGAAAGAGCATGTGCAACACCTCAAGCAGGTTTTCCATCTCCTGAGAGAGAACAAGTTGTATGCAAAAACTTCCAAGTGCACTTTTGGCCAGCAACAAGTCGAATATCTGGGGCATGTTATTACTGCTGAAGGAGTTGCCACGGACCCCATAAAAATTCAAGCTGTAGTTAATTGGCCTGAACCACAAAACACTACTCAGCTGAGAGGTTTCCTCGGACTGACAGGTTATTACAGAAGGTTCATACAAAACTATGGTACCATCTGCAGGCCCCTATTTGACTCCTTGAAGAGAGACTCTTTTGTCTGGTCAACAAACCAACAGGAAGCATTCCAGACACTCAAGCACAAACTCACTACTGCACCTGTCCTGGCTCTCCCAAATTTCCAAAAGCCTTTCATTTTGGAAGCAGATGCAAGTGGATATGGGTTGGGAGCAGTATTAATGCAAGATGGTAAACCCCTTGCATATCTGAGCAAGAGTATTGGGCCCAAGGCACAAGGAATGAGCACATATGACAAGGAGGCCATGGCAATACTAGAAGCGCTAAAAAAATGGAAACATTATTTTGCTGCCTCTGCTCTTATTATCAGGACAGATCAGCAGAGTTTGAAATATATCCAGGAGCAAAAACTTACCGAAGGAATACAACATAAATTGTTGGTCAAGCTACTTGGATACACATACACTGTAGAGTATAAAAAGGGCAGAGAAAACAAGGCTGCCGATGCTCTCTCCAGAATTAAACATGCTGTCAGCAGTTTGATAACTTCTACTATCCAACCTGCTTGGATATCAGATGTGGTGAAATCCTATAAGAATGACAAGAAATGCTCTGACATAATTGCCGAAATAGCTATCAATGCTACCAGCAAAAATAATTTCACATTCCTGAATGGTGTTCTGAAATATAAGAACAAAATTGTGGTGGGCAGCAGTACTAATATAAGGCATGACATCATACAGGCCTTCCACAAATCCGAGCTAGGGGGTCATTCTGGAGAATTTGCAACCTATCAAAGAGTCCACCAACTGTTCCATTGGCCAGGACTCAAGCAAGAAGTGATCAACTTTGTAAAAGCATGCCCGGTTTGCCAAATCAACAAAGCAGAGCACACTCCTTATCCAGGTTTATTGCAACCACTGCCTGTGCCTGATTTTGCATGGTATCACATTAGTATGGACTTTGTCGAGGGATTGCCCAATTCTGAAAACAAAGACCTCATATTAGTTGTGGTGGATAGATTCACCAAATATGCCCATTTCATATCCATGAAACACCCCATCTCAGTGCATTCTGTGGCTAGAGCATTCTCTGACAATGTCTTTAAGTTACATGGATTACCAGCAGTAATAGTAACTGACAGAGATAAGATCTTTACTAGTCATCTGTGGCAAGCCTTGTTCAAAAACTTGGGAGTTAAGTTACACATGAGCACATCCTACCATCCTCAAACTGATGGTCAAACCGAAAGGGTCAATCAGTGTTTGAAATCATATTTGAGGTGTATGGCCTTCAAAACCCCCAAGAAATGGCACTCCTGGTTAGCTTTAGCTGAATGGTGGTATAACACTTCATTCCATACTTCTCTGAAAATGACCCCGTTCCAGGCATTGTACGGATTCCCTCCTCCACTTATTGGTGAAACTAGTCTCCCTGAATTTATCTCTATGGATAGTGATGAATTAGCACAAAACACAGACCTAGTAACTCAATTGCTCAAGGAAAATTTGCAGAAAGCAGAGTCCAGAATGAAGCAATTTGCTGACAGGAAGAGAACTCCAAGAGAATTTCAAGTGGGCACTATGGTTTATCTCAAGATCCAACCGTACAGACACACTTCACTGAGCATTCACAAACACTTTAAGCTTCATTCTAAGTACTATGGGCCTTTCAAAATTCTGGAGAAGATCGGACGATGTGCCTACAAGTTACTGCTCCCAAACGACTGCAAACTGCATCCCACTTTCCATGTCAGTCAGCTCAAGCAGCATATTGGGCCTCAGGTTGTACCACACCCCTATCTACCCCTAGTGGATGACCAGGGCCAGATTAGACTAGAACCTGAGGCTATACTTGAGAGGAAGCTCATTCCCAGACCTCAAGGAGACATCAGCATTCCAGTTGTGCAGTGGCTAATCAAGTGGGTCAACTTACCAGCTGAACAAGCTACCTGGGAGGATGCTGCGTTCATACAGAAAGTTTTTCCAGCATTTACGCCTTGAGGACAAGTTGCGTCTTCATCCGGGGGTATTGTCACGCCCTGTTCTGCTGAAGATCAAATTCAGTTGCTGTTCTTCGCCTGCGCGCCTTCTTAGCCACCCGATCAAGATCTGACGACCAGGCGCCCCCTTCCGAAGCAGTACGCGAGAAGTTGGAAGACGGCGCAGGAGACGCACGATCTTGATCTAACGGCCATCCATCGATTACCTTTTACTGCTACTTTTTTACCTTTCGTTGCCAGCACCGTCGCTGCTCCTTTTTACTTTCAGGCTGCTTATATAAAGTCCTGGACTCATTGTGAGCTGGGGATCGATTGTAATCGGGATAAACCCTAGCCGCCACAAGTTGGCCTTGCTGCTACTTTCCCCTTCTGAAATAGAACCCTAGCTAGCTTTCCTCCTCAAGCGGGGCTAGCGTTGGTAAATTCCTCTCTGTTCCTCATGTTTGTGAGTCCTGATCGTGACATCCCTGAACTCGCATCCTCTCCTCCACTTCTTGACCTGTTTTATTCAGATTTGATCTTCCATTAAGCTGCTGGATGTTGTGCTTGCTGCTGCTCTTTGAATGCCTGTAGATTGTAGTAGTAGTGTACTAGACTACTAGTGTAGTACTGCTTGTCTGCTTCAGTGCTTCTTTTTCCTAGCTTAATATCATCCTGCTCATGAATGCTTGTAGAGCATGGCATCTGGGAGTGGCACAGCTGGGTTATGTCTTCAACTCTTCTAATCTTCTTTACTGTTCGATGTGTTTTGCAAGATGCAACTTGCAATGACATGGGGGGACAAGAATCAATCAAGCACTTGATAAAAGAGACACAACCGAATGGGGGCAGTATCTCTATTCTAATCTTTTTCTCCTTTATTTTCTGTATTAACTCTATATTACATGACATATTTTTATTTTATTTTATATATGCTCACCGTATCCCCGAATGGCTGTTTTTGGAAAATGCCGTATCCTGTATCCCCGTATGCGTATCCCCAACTTTCCGTCCCCGTGTCCGTGCTTTTTAGTTTCTGACACAAAGGTAGATTCAGTATATATTGACAACGTGAATAGAGGCAACACTACCCAACAAAGACAATGTGAATTACAGCCTAATTACCACTGTAATGTTACTGAAATTACACTGTAATTGGGCTGACCGTAAATATTCTAGTAAAAATTGCACTGTGATTACCCATGGAAATTACACTATAACAACATCGTAAATTATAGAGAAATTGCACTGTAATTATAGTAAAATAGCAGTGTGATTTACAGTGTAATTACCCTGAAAATTACACCGTAATTACTCTGTGATTACAAGTACACTGTAAGAACACTACAATTACAATATGCTTACTCTGTAAGTTCAGAGGAAATTACACTGTAATTAAAATGAAATTACAATCTTGAAGCAGCTGTCAACTTAGATGCAACACTACCCAAAACATACAAAAAAAGGTTATAAAATGGATACAAATACTACCAAACAAAGACAACCCACAAAGAAAAAGGTTCTAAAATGCTTGCAGATACAACATAGGCAACACCCCCTCCCCCC